AACTTTATCGGTAATTATTTTATATTTTCTTCCTGGTCATTGATAAAGATATTAAATAGCATGGAGCCAAGAACTGATCCAGCAGGATTCTACTAGAAACAGAGCCACTCAACAACAATTTACTGCGTACCATTATAGTTTTGAGACCTTATCAGTTAGCCAGTTTTTAACCTACTTATGTGCTATGTTCAATTTTATATGATTCTAGGAGGGGGGGAGGGTTATCAAAATGTCATGTGGCACCAAGTCAAGTGCCTATGGAAGTCTACATGTATCAGCACTCTCCGCTTTCTAGCTCAAATTTATAATCAAAGAAGATACCCACTTAGTTTGACATGATCTATTTTCCATAAACCCATATGGATTTGCACTAATTACATTGCTTTTCATTAGTTTTGTATTAATAGATTCCTATGTCTCCACTCTATTGTCTTGCCCAGCATTCATGTCAGGCCGGCAAGCCTATAATTACCTGGGTTGTCCAGATTTAACTGTTTTAAAAACTGGCAGAGCATTAGGTTTCTTTCAGTCTTCTAGAACTTGCCTGGTGCTCCAAAACTTATTGGGGGGAAAAAAAAAACCAATCAGGTGCAGTAAGCTCTTCAGTCAACTCCTGGATGGGAGTTATATGGACCTGCTGAGTTTAAAATGTTTAACTTCTTTTTAACATTCTCCAGGCAAAGGAAATGCAGTAGATCCAATCTACCTGTACTTCAGTAAGACATTTACTACAGTTCTACATGAGAAATTATTAAATTGGAGAAGATCAGGTTTAGTATGAGCATGAAAAGGTAAATAAGGAACTGGTTAATGGGTAGACTACAATGGGACATACTGAATGGTGAACTCTCAGGATGGAGGAGATTACTAATGAGGAATTCTTCAGGAATTGGTCTTGAGGCCCATCTTAAAAACATAAGAATGGCCACACAGGGTCAGATCAAAGATCCATCTAGCCCAGTATCCCGTCTTCCAACAGTGGCCAATGCCAGATGTCCCAGAGGGAGTGAACAAAACAGGTAATCAAGTGATCCCTCTCCTGTCATTCATTTCAAGCCTGTGATAAACAGAGGCTAGGGACACCATTCCTACTCATCCTGGCTAATAGCCATTGATGAATCTAACCTCCATGAATTTATCTTTTTTGAACCCAGCTGAAGTCCTGGTCTTTACAACATCTTCTGGCAAGGAGTTCCACGGGTTGACTCTGTGCTGCATAAAGAAATCCTGAGATTATGGGTCTATGGACAAAAGCAGATGGGTGAAATTATGTGGCCTGCAGCATGCAGGCATCAGATTGGATGATCGTAATGGTTTCTTCTGACTAGAGTGGGTAACCTAATGTCCAGGAGACTGATGCAGTCCCCGGCTTTCCTGGATCCAGCTCTTGAGGCTCAGGACTCCTCTCCTTCCCCAGCATTGGGGAGCCTAGGCTGGTGCTCCAGCCCCTCTGCTGCCTTACTGTGGGATTGAAGCACACAAAGTCTACTAGCCTACCTCTAGTGTGCAAGGAAAACACAGCAAGAGACTTTCTCCTCCTCAGTCAGGGGCCATGTTAATGAGGGTTTGGCTGGTTGGTTGGTTTTTTACACTTCTCACTTGTGTGCAGCTTCCTACTGGATTTTTCAGGGTCAGCGCACCCCCAACCCAAAAATGGTTCCCCATCCTTGCTTTAAAGTTTATAAAATATAAGTGGAATAGAAGATTGCAACCACATCGTATGTTCTACCCCTCCAAATATAGAACAGATACATTTATTGAACAGCCCTAACTTTTCTAGATTATTGGTAATTCTACCATTTTCATCTAACAATGGACCACTACTACCACTGTCAGGATTTTTTTTAAACTGCTTTTTACAAGGCTTAGCTGCAGATTTTTCCTTCTGTCACCTGGCCTCACTTATCAATTTATTATAATACCTAATTTCTGCTTTATATTCATTACTATCAGCTCCCCCGTCTTCCATTCCATGCATCTGATGAAGTGTTTTTACCCACAAAAGCTTATGCCCACATAAATCTGTTGGTTTTTAAACTCCTCATTGTTTTTACAGATACAGACAAACACAGCTATCCTTCTGAGACTTGTCTTCCATTTCTTTGAGGTTTTTCTTGGGGGGTGGGGCAATGTTTTACCTGATGCCCTCACTTCCCCTATAAACCAAATTGGCTTTTTTAGCCAGCACTGCCTTCTTCCTTGATTGTCTGACTGTGGTTTTGGGCACCTTAGTAAAATGCTCCTAAATATTTCCCACTTAGGATTCACATTTTTATTAAATTCTTCCTCCAGCTGATTTGGGCATAATTATTTTTAGATGTGTGAAATTAGCCCTATTAAAGTAGCCATAGATCTACATGAAGTAAGAATGGCATCAGCTACAGACTGAAGAGTGATCTTGGCTATCAGTTTACCTTTTTCTGTAAGAGCTTGGAAACTAGCTCTGTCCTACTACAGAAGGCTATCAGAAAATTCCATAAACTTTGTGTAGTTCAAGAAATCTTGTTTAGTTATTTGTGCCTAGTAATTTTAGGTTATCCTGCATAGGAGACTAGATGATGAAAAGCATCTTTCTCCCCAACAAATCCAGGTTTATGCCCTCTTTATCCATAGAAGTATCCCACAGATGTTGCTGTCAAGCTCTTTCGGATGTAGCCTAGCCCTAGACCACCAGTGAGCTGGGAGTGGGGTGAGAAAACCTTAATGAATGACTTTAGAAACTGGAAGCACCCAGTACAATCAGTGCCAGTCTCAGCTTCCCTGGAGTTCTGAACACAACAATTCAAGATACAGAGTCTCAACAGGTGCTGCAGGAAGGGAACAGGCACCAGTTGAAACATCTTAAAAAGTAAACTGTCTCTCTTTTTAAGAGGATGTTTCCATGACATGGAGACATGAAGAGGACAAGGAGAAACGTAGATCTAGATGATCCCAAGTTAGAAGATGTTGGTGCTGCAAATACAGTGTCTGAAGGTTCCAGATAATAAGACGAAGTGTAGCAGAGTCCAAGGCAAGACCGCGCCTCATGCCTATGGATTCTGAAATTTACAAGACTGCCTCTAGGGCAAGGAGGATACGAGTGGCAGATCTCTCAGTCGGATACAATCTTTATTCCCCAAAGCAGTACAATCAGCTCTTGTGTTGATCACTAACCAGGAAGACCCACGTACAAGCCAGGCAGGCCTAGAAGTCTTGGGCATTCTAAAGTGCCTCAAACAGTGAGGGAACAGGACGAAGCCCATGATTCCTACTATCCACAAACTCACTACTATGAATATAGCTAATAAAAATTATTTGCAAAATACAAACAGGCAGAAGAGCTAAAAGCTAGAATGCCACACATGGAAGGATTCCATCCCAGATTACAAGCAATAGAAAAGAACTGGAGAGGTGATTGCACTGTGCCATCCCTTATGTCCTCAGTTTAGAGCTCCAGGAAAAAAGAAGGGCCCAGGTTTGGACCAATAAATGCTGCTATAAGTTTCTGGCCCTAGGAACATAGAGCATAAGCACACCCACAGTGAATACTGATAGGATCAGCATTCAAAAAAGAACTTCCAGTGAGTTATCCTTAAGCATGCTGGCAACAGGAAGCAGGGTTGCCAAGTGTCCGGTTTTGAACTGGACAGTCCAGTATTTGAGCTTTCTGATTGGGAAACAAATTGAGAAAATATAAATATCCAGTATTTTCTAAATAAGATGTAATGTAGATTGTGATGTAATATCAAGTGTGTCCGGTATTTTTGTTGAAACCATCTGGCAACCGTAACAGGAAGAGAATTTTACCCTTTAATAAGTTATCAATGGCTGATGACGTTACATGTACAGCAAGCGATATATTCAAATTTATTACACACTTTTACAATTTGGCCAACAAAACAAAAAATTGATTCTTAGCTTCCATCCACCAACACAAGGTAACTTTTTTTTTTTTTTTTTAAAGCCAAACCAGTATTTTACACTATGTCTGAAAGGCTTTGGGGGGGGGGGAAAACAACACAAAAAGAGGTAAATTTCAGAGCAGAGGACCCTACAATCAGAGGGTACTGTCACCCCTAGAAATTCAACCCTTGGGATTGAACAGCACAGAGCATTGCAGCTGATTGCAACTGCTATGACCAGGAATGAGGGAGAAGCTAAAAAAAAGAGTGATAACCAGCTGGGTCCTAGACCGTTTAGAGCTTTAGAAAGAGTCATCAAGCCCTGAATTGCTTCCCAAAACTAATCTTCAACCATATACCCTCTGAAACAGCTACGTAAATAAAATTTATTTAATCTCTAAAAAAACATAAAATGCATAATGTTTAAACACCGATCAACATGTTGCATGTGTACTGTGGAAAATCTTTTTGTATATAATTTTATGAACAAATCAGGTTTTTAAAGGATATAAAAGAAATATGATTCAACTTTACAGTTGTTCTATACACAACAGAAAAATCAGTACGTTGTAAACTATTCTTTATGTTTTTAAGAAATTTGGACTAGTCCACATACTATTCAAGTAAAAACATTAAAAAAATATATTAAAAAATACTTTAGAAGAGACTTTAATAGCATGAAAGCACACAAAATACAAAGTTTACAAAAGTGGTATAAGGATAGAATTCTGCACTGAGAATCATGTAAGCTGACCCCTACATACACATAGATCTCTACCAAAGGCCATGGGAATCCTGTGCATCTCCTAGTTCAGGATCAGGGCCACATTTTATGTTCCAAACCCTTATTTTGAAAATGGATGTTCGTCTTAAGTTAAAAGTCACATGCACATGTGTAATATACTCACACAATACACCCTTAATTATGATATTATTTAAACAATTTCACAAAATATTAACTATTGGTTTAAACACTTTTGAAACTATAGATTAAAACAGAAGAAAAACATCCACAATCGTAATGGCTTTCTGAAAAAAAGCCTTTTCTAATACTCAACAACAATTCAGATTATTTCATCAGAGAAAAAGTTTACAATAGTTAATGAAGTTTTACTTTACCAAGTTGGTGCTGTGGATACATGCTGTAATTTGAAGGTGAGAAATCTATCTGATCTTCTTCATCTATAGTCTGCCCTAACGAAAACAGGCTGACACGTCTCATCTTCAATAGCCTTGGGGAACTTCCAACAGTATTTCCAATATCCAGTACCACATCTCCAGAAATTACAGCAGGAACTACTTTTTTTAAAAAGTCCATTTTTTTGTTTTGTTCCGTCTACTTTCCCCAACACGAATTAGACTAGCTACATAACACACACCCAGGTGCTTGTACAAACTTCCTTGAAGAATCAGTAAGGTGGACTACTTGAGCTACTTTACACAGTGATGTCATGCTGAACCTGGGTGGTGCCAAAACCAGCAGGTCAGCTGCCAGCTGCTGGCAGGCTGATTTCAAAGACAGTTTACTGTACAGACTGATAACAAAACAAAATAAGCAATTAAGTTACTGGAATATACAAGAGTTGATCAACTGCCACAAAACAAAAACATATTTAACACTACCATGATTTTAAACCAAAATGTTATAAAACATCTAAAAATGCAAATTTATTTTGACAGTTAATTAGCTCTTCATTTCAATTAAGTGCACAGGGAGGCACATACTTCTGCATTCACAGATAAGTGTTATCATTTAGAAACCCATTTCTCAGCTTTACAAACAGAGTTACTAACAGCTCAAATATTCCATGCTTTGAACAAATTACATTCTTGAACAGCTTTGCAAATGGTGCATTAACATTTGCTTATGCTACCACACAGAAAAACCTCTTATTCTTTATTCCACGCTTTTACATTTGGGAATAAAAATCAGCAAATAATTAAAGACATCAAACCATTTAAAACTAAAATTAGAGATCTATAAACACACAAGTGAAGTTGGTTTTTACCCCATTTGTGACTATGAAGAAAATACCACAACATTCAAGAATTATTTGTACATTGCTTCTTGTTTTGAATGTCTATTAATGATCAGACTAGACATTTTTAGAAGCAGATTTTACTGACAAAAAGCAGCTCAGGCGCCAAGCTGTATTTTCAAACCCTGATTAACAAAATTATCTCGCCCACGAAAATTCTAATTTTAAGTACACAAAACTATTTTATAATGTATTTTATTTTATCTTTTTTCCCCTCAAACTTGCCTTTAAAATTAGTCCTCACAGAAATTCTCACACAGTAAATCATACAAAATAGGCTACATAAAATAAAACCTACTGACTTCTGGGTTTCACAATGTAATAACGGATTATACAGATATTACCAAATAACTAAAACTAAGGTGTTAGCTATACTTGGAAACTATTGCAGATTAATTTGAGCTATTTCACATTAAGTTGCCTTGTGTCCACAAAATTATTTTTTGATAAAATCATTTGGTGTTTTAGTAGGTTTTATAAAAGCCACTTGAAGTGAGTTTATAGAGATGTGGGATGAACTTACATGCAGCAAAGTAGGTGTAAATGCATCCCCATCTCAAAACAACTGATGTGCACTTGCCGTGTCTGTCACCTGGTAGCCCACATTGCTTTGCTTGCTACTTAGGATGACCAAAGCAGGATGACCATTCTGTTTACTTGCATGCCCTCTACTAAGCGTAACTGTTTACATGGTTAACAAATGAGCCTGGGCTAATCGGGTAACATGCAAGGTTACATGCAGCCCTTGCCCACTCCACCCATCTGACAGGGGAGAATATGAAATCTGGAATACTGCTTCCACCTGCCTGGATCGGGGTTTATGTGATGAGGTCTCTGAATCTGATTGAAGTAAGTTGTCATACTCACTGGAACCTGCCTGAGAAATTACTGAGGGCAGGTAAGCAGGTGAGGAGCAATCAGAGATTGTGGATGAGCGCCTGGAGGTGCGGTGTTGCTGAGATGTAGAGGCTATGTGCCTTGAATGGTAAGTGTGGGAGGACCACGGTTGATATCCATGCCATGTATCCCACGGGCTCCACTGAGGTAGGAGCTGATGTGGAGGAAACATCCATGGTTGGCTGGGCCAAATAGGATGTGGTTGAAGGGAGTGATTCCTGTATGAATTCCAGGAAGTTAGTGATAGAGAAGGAGAGGAATGGCGTGATGAGAGCCTGCTCCTATGCCCGCTACCATAATCAGATCTTGGAGATAGTGGTGTAGGCAAGTTGGGGCCACTCTGAAGTGTTAGCGTGCCCCTGCGCCATGGAGCATGGTGAGGCAGTTACTCCTCTTGATTCAGGCTGAGGAGATTTTTATAAGTGCCACGTTTTGTGCAGCGCTTTCTTGTGCTGCGGTGCCATAGAGCAGTCAAAATCACTCTGCCCAGTTAGATTGGGTGCAGAGGGAGAGTTCACCGGAGCTGATGGAGGAGGCATATGCAGCTTATCTGAAGCTGCTACCTCAATGGCACCAGTTGATGTGGCAGTCTTAATTTGTGCCTCAGCTCTCCTGACTGGCACTGACTTGCGTTTCTCCATGGTACCAGAGACTGGTGGCATCAGGGAATGAGAGGCTCTAGGCAGCTCGAACAGGGAGCGTGCCGGTGTTGAGAGCCTTTGTGGGGTGAGGAAGCTGCCCTACCCGAGAGCTTTTGCTGTGCTGGCATCTCATCTAGTTTGTTCCTTGGTAACTGAAGAGAGTTTTCCTAGAGAATAGTCTTGAGCCATGTTTCAGAGTCTTTTCTGGCCCTTGCCGTCATATTCAGGCAACAAGGGCACTTTTGCGCCACTTGAGACTCTGCCAGGTATTTGACACATGAGGCATAGCCCTCTGAGGTAGGCATTGAGTCTCTGCATGAATCACATTTTTTGAAGCCAGGAGAACCTGGCATTGTCGCAGAGACAAAAAGCTGCGCCACCACGGTGGGTGCCGGGTTTTTTCCCCCCCGGAAACAAAGTGAACATTGAAAAAGGTCAAACTAACTAAAACTATGAGGTATAAAGCTAAGACTAATGGAGGATTTCTGTTTTTCCTGTCAGGAGAGGACTGCATAAAAAAAGCCAACTGTATAAAAGGCAAACATCTTCCTATTGGTTCTCTCCCCAGTGGCTATAACCACCACACTGCCTGCAGTTATAGGCTGCCACACAGCTTTTTCTAAGCTAGCACATTTATTAAACTGAAAGCATTGCAGGAAAAACATTAAAAACAATGAAAACCTACACACATACTAAAAAGCTTTCCATGCATCATCTGTTTTGTGGCCTTCCTAAATCAAATTTTCCAATACTTCTGCAAGGATTTGGGGACCTTCTGGCACAGAAGGTTCTGTTTGCTCAATCAGAATCAGCTGAAACTCAGGCTACTTATTCAACAGTTTTTTCTTTTTCTGTTGCGCTCTGGAGAATCCAGTATGTACTATAATATATGAGAGAATCTCCAGGTGGTGGTACTTCTCTGAGGATGTTACAAACTGAGCCAATTTGCCTAATCACCAGACTGTTCTCTCCCTTAGAATTACATACAATCCCAACCCATAATGATACAGCAAGATCTTAATACAGTAACATCTCTCAAAAGGTATTACAGGAAATTGATTTGGCACAAGTGGAATTTGGGAGAGCATCCCTGATTTCCCTTCCTCCCCCCATTTAAGCTCTTGCATTGCAATTTAGGAGAAAGAGAACTGACTTCTAAAAGATGAAATACAGTAGGGTATAGGCAAAGAACACATAAGGGGTATGGAAGGACACAGGGAGGGATCCTAAATAACTGGTGGAGGGAGTCAAAAGTAGGATAAAAAAATGGAACAAGTTGGGGGATGGGGAGCCTGTTGTAAAACTAGGTAAATACATAGATGAGTTGATGTACCTTTCCTGGAAGGCCTCTGTGTGCCCCCAAGAGTACACAAACTTCTGATTGAGAACCACTGCTACAGAACTTGGGCTTCTTTGTAGACTTGTCCCAGGAAACCTTTGAAATGTTAATATTTAAATTGTACCTGCATTCTTCAAAAGATAAAAGCACCTAGGATTTCCTTAGCTATATACAGGCAGTCCCCGACTTACGCGGATCCGACTTATGTCAGATCCCCACTTACGAACGGGGCTTTTCTCGCCCCGGAGCTCACGGGCGGCGGGTCGCCACCCGTGTCCTCCGGGGCGAGAAAA